CCGCCCAGCTTTGGCGTCGCAATGGATTCTCTCTAGTGAATCAAATTCACAATTATTACTCACCTCTCTGTCGAACGGAAATGTTCGACAGAGACTTGTTGATGATGCAGGTTTGAATACACATTACAAATTCTTGAGTTATGAGCCGTAGTGTATACGTTATGTTCCTCTTGGACATTTACCGAAAGAAATAATGGCGTCCTCATAGAAAAAGCCTTGTTGGAGAATCGTCTGTGTGGCACAATCGCGGAAATAGGGGGACCCGCTGTTGGCCTATGTAATAGACGGTTCTCGCTCAGAACGCGTTCCAACGTCAGATTGATATCTGTACTTTCTTTCTCGCTCGGAACGTTTGCGTTTTTCTCAAAGTGCTCAGCAAGCTCGAAACGCGAACAAGTATATAGTTAATCGTCGCTTTAACGCTTCATATCCCTAGAAAGTGGTATGTGGATTGTGCAATAGTGTGGTAGCGGTGTAGTGCGGTGGAAAACTACGCTGTAAGTGTGAAACAGAATTGCTTTGTGATTGGGTCTCTCTGATCGCGCGCGCGCGATTATAGCGCATTCCATGTTACAAGCGATGAATAATGGCGCGAAGCCAACGAACGATAGTTGAAGAGATAGAAGCTACAACGAACTAAACTAATATAAGCGAATCGTGAATTAAGACAAGTGTGAAACAGAATTACTGGATTTTCTGTGGGAATCCAAACTGGGTTAACAGAATGGGTTGTCAAGGTGTGTTGAAATGATCGCTATTTATGGTCATATGAGAAATCATCTCAATAGAAGATAGTTCCTTGAAAAGTGAAGCGAGGATAGATTGAGGGAGAGCGAGAAAAAGCAACAGGAGGTAAAACATATTACGGGTGAAGGGAGAAAAAGGAAGAAAAGACTGTGAAAGTTTAACTGGCCAATACCTTTTTGAGAGTTTCACTCGCATAATAAACAATTGAGTTTTTTCTATTAGGTTGGAGCCGCTATCCGCCCACCGACTGATTTTCTGCTGCACATCATATGCCGGTTCCGACTAGTCCAGTGGGCTGATCAGTCTGGTGATGGCGGATCGAAACATTCCACACCGTTCGGAAAAATGGAACCCGAAGAAACTGGGAAAATCATCGTCATACTAGCAGAAGAAATGCTGCATTTGCTGATCATGATACTTGGTTAGTATTATTTTACCGTCGAAAATCAGCACTGCTCTTTGAAATTTATCACAACGAGCACAGGAGAACGATACCATCCTGGTGTGGGAAGGTGCACGTTTACGGAGCAAGTTCAGCGTGAAGTCATCCATGTGCTTTGTACCGGACCACAACCTTTCAGTCATGTGGGTCGTTTGGTACCACTTTCCTCATAATCCCAATAATCCCAACTAGTTTATTATTTCAGATCCAAAAGAGGATGTCTCATGATCCTATGGTGGAGCGCATATCGTTGCATGAAGTCGTCAACACTGTCGCGAACTTTGTGTGAGTATATTGGAAGTTATCGGAGTGGTTTTGAACTTATGTGCCTATACGCTGCAACAAAAAGCGTCAGAGTAAGGAGGGAGCGATAAGTAGTTATATTAGAGAGTAATCGAGTTTTACAAATAGGGAAAACTCTAGCTCCTACCGATATTCTTTCTCAATCCTGTTCGGTCGTGTCTTCTTTCTAAGTCGGTTACGTTCAGCAAACCAACGACAACCTCCGCTGGACAGTTTTATCTGAAGGAGTCATTACTCACTGAATACAATCCCTTCTTCTATCACTACTCGAAAAGCGATCTTTCGCAGGCCGAACAATACCAGCAAAAAATACGCTCAAAGCTTGATCGGTATGATTCGTACAACGATTTCTTATCGTTTTAAGCATTTCCCTTTGAAGGAACGAAAATAAAGATGAACATTCGATTTCAGGAAGCTACAAGCGTGTCCACCGCCCATGCCTGTTGAGTTTGAACCATTCTTCGCTTCAGTTCGAAACATATTGAAGACTCCATGTCTAATCAAAATTCTGAAACTGGTTCTGGATAGAACAGGAAAACGGAGTCGCTTTTCGAGTGATCGTCTTTTCCATCGGGTTTGTGAAACTGAATTCCTTTGTTCATTTTATTGGTGTGAAACTTGTCACTTGTTTTGAACACCTATCTTTCAACCCTGCAGAAGAGCTTGAACATTTGTAATCAAAATAGAAAATTATGAAAAATGGGTTCGAAACTTTCTGATATTCCCTGACTTGTCCCTTTCCTAACCTGAAATTTCTAGGCATTTTTCATGATCGGTATGGGTCTGCAAGAGCAAGCACGGGATCCCAAACGTTTCAACTTCACTGAAGTAGCAGAAAAAGAAGAGATTCTCCATTCGCTGGATTCTCTTTCTGGTTCAGCTGAAGTTGCCACTCATGCGGACCTACTTTGGTGGACCATACAGGTAGGTTTAAAGGCTTTGGGTGTAGCATAACTACTGTTAATACTGGTACAAATTACATACTGGTTCAAATTATGCTGTTTCAGAAGTACAAAGAAGTTCAACGTCTCTCCACAACTGGGCAAACAACGGAGAGGCGTGGTGAGGTGATAGATAGCCAATGCAAAGGCAAAGCGAGCTGCTCGGGCGGCGAAGATGCGTGAACAAGCGATGTTAAAGGTTCCGGTTCTTTTATATTATCTCGCCAGAATAGTACATATAGCTTTTTAGATGTCAAAGATGCAAAAATCTTTTTTGAAAGTCCTGGAAACAGAGAGTCCATCTTTGACGGAACCAGTTGTTCATGAGGGTGCATTGAGTGAATTTCGTGGCGATGATGATGAAGATTTTGTGAGGTGGGTTGGTCCAGGTAATCTAAGGTAACCTTTAGTGTGGTTGCTAGACAAGAATCCTCCTACCAAAAAATGTGGTAGAAAGGTAGTCGGAAAATTCGTCAAAGCCATAGCAAAATTTCGAGCTCAAGGTCGTAGACATTTTATTGGCTTTAACGGTTTTCGTAGTCACCGCTCAACGATGTGGTTTATACAACAGCGGCTCGCTCCTTTACAAATCATTTTCGAATTTTTTTTTTGTATCTGGGATCTCAAGTCATTGTTTCCATTTCTTTTTATCTCATCTATCCTTTGTTTGATTGTTGAATTTTCAGCAAGCAACAAGACCACGGTTTCCCTGTTTGTTTGGGTCCACAGAGAAGTCGCGTGGAGGAAGTTTTGCCACGAAAAGTGACTTGCATACTTTGTCAGGAAGAAGAGACACTTTCTCCTGATAACGGGAAAGCATTCGTCTGTGCTGCATACGTGCAAAAGTACGTTTCGGCTTTTTATTTCGATAGGCTCTTTTATTTTTGCTGTCACAGACGGTTCAAGTCAGGGCACATCCTGCCGTTGGGAAAAAGTTTGCAGTTTACGGCCCCCACTCTCGAAAGTTCCTCCTCTGCTACGACCCCTTTTCCTATTCCCCCATTTTATTAGGTTGTCCGGAAAGTTCTCAGCGTTTTGAGTGTTTCACTTTAAACGATCATAACTTTTTAATACTCATCGGATTTAATCGAAATAGGCACCATTCGAATCAGCACACTTTTGCCAATGTGACACCAGTCGATAAATCCCATCAAAGAAAAAACTGGGTGGTAGAGAATCCACGAAGTCCATGTAGGCCTTTTTTGCCTGGTCCTGATTGATGAAGTATTTTCCAGCAAGGAAGTTCTGAAAATGTTTGAAAAGGTGATAGTCGGTTGGTGAAAGGTCTGGAGAATATGGCGGGTGAGGTAGAACTTCAACCCCAATTCGTTCAATTATGGATAGTGATTTGTGAAACGTGTGGGCGGGCGTTGTCATGCAGAAGAATCGGACCCTTTCTGTTGACAAGTGCTGGCTGCAGCTGACGCAATTTTCGGTACATTTCGTCGATTTCTTCACAGTAGGACTCTGCTGTGATGGTTTGGCCTGGTGACAAAAAGTTATAGTGGATCACACCAGCCGATGACCACCACACTGTGACCATAATCTTTTTTTTCGTGAGGATTCGGCTTTGGAAATTGCCTCGGTGGTTCGTCGGCATCCAACCACTGTCCGGAACGTCTCCTGTTATCATACATGATCCACTTTTCATCACAGGTGACAATTCGGTCCAAAAACGGGTCGTTTCTGTTGCGCAAAAGCAGTGAAGAGGAAACCTCGAGACGTGCCAATTTCTGCCGGTCACTCATTGTGGGGCACCCACTTGTCGAGTTTTTTCACCTTCCCAATGCGTTTCAGACCATCTGCAACACTGGATTTGCCAACGCCTAGCTTTTCTGCAATCTCTCGAACTGTTTGGGATGGGTCAGCCTCCACAAACGCCTTCAAATCCTCGTCAGGTATTGCTTTAGGTCGACCGCTACGAGGTTCATCTTCAAGGCTGAAATCTCCAGAACGAAATTTGTCGAACCATTGTGCTTTCTCTAGCACTATTGGGCCCCCACACCTGGTTAATTTGTTGAGCTGTTTCGATTGCGGATTGCCCCAATTTATAGTCGAAGAAAAAAATCGTCCGAAGTGCTCTTTTCACATGCTTGAAAAAATCTTGAAAAAGGGGTTTTTCAAGCAATGGTGAAACGGCAATTAAACCAGGAGATAGCGCAAAGAATTCTCTTCGATGTACTATGAGCCGCAAGGGAGAATGAGTTTTTAATCAGCAATGAGTGTACAAAAAATGGTAACACAAAACGCTGAGAACTTAATACCAAGACAACCTAATACCTGCAGTCTTAAAGTTCCCTAACTTCTACCAATTTAATGGAAATTTTCCTCTTAAAACTTCTTACTGATATGCGCAAAACGGGGGAGCAACCAGAAATTTTTTGCTCGGAAGAAAATGCATTATGCTTATCACCAGCGACCGAATATGAGCCCACCCCCTTCCCCCTTGCTGGGATCTCCAACGTACGGCGTGCTCTGCCCACAGTCCAGTTAGCGTCAAGACTATCTTGTTTAGCTGTCATGGCGACTAACGAGTTTCTAGCTATATTGGTAAAACCTAAGCAGGAACGCAGGGAGATTCTGGCCTAAATAGTTGATTAATTAGGTTTTGGCTTCGTATTTAGAAATACACTGGGAACGCTTCCAGGTCGTTGCTCTTTGCACAGCGCGGTGAACCAGAAACTGAAGCAAAGTTGCGAGACTTAGCCCCAGCGAATCTTCTCTTTGGTGTTGATGCTTCGACATGTTCACACACACAATGCATTATGAATGTTTCCATAGGTACGCTATCTTGTAATTGTTTAAGAAAACTTGTATATTTTCTTATAGGTGTTTTACCTTGGAAAGCTTCTGTCTTTAGTTGTTCATAGTGATGAATTGTAGCCTTTCGGAAACCCTTCTCAGCAGAGAACGTCAACGACCGCGTCAGCAGATGGTTCTCAATCCAAAATGTTGATCCAGAGGTTCGAATTTTCGGCCCTGACCCTTTGATCCTTTGTTCATTCATTCCTAGTTACAATTTCAGGTGGGGGAGTACTTATGTCCGCTCTGCAAACGTCTTTCGAATACTGCTATGCCTTTGCTGCCTGCATTACAACTAATGGACATCGATGGGTTAGTGAATTGATCTTCATTAAACGGGGTTTTGTTCCTGTTTGTTATGGCGCGTGAGTCCTTCTTTTTGCAGTTTTTCCACAGCTAGCAATGAAGAACCTGAAACTTTCGATAGTTGGGTAAGCCGAATGAAAAGTTTGCTTCGATACTCCTCTTGTTCGACAAACTCCAACACAAAAGCCGAAATCACATAGCAGAAAGAGGTACGCTCATTTGAATTTTTGGTTTTTTTTCCTACCGGTAACCCTTTGGTGAAGGCGGCGTTTGACGCAAGTGTGATATTCCTCTCTGGCTGTATAGGTCTAGAAACGAGTCTCTTTAACGTCCACTTAAGGTCTCACTCTGAGCGCTCTCTGCTGGAGCTTTGCCAAACACCAAGCTGGAGCTTGCCAAACAAGGAGATGAGCTGTCCACAATGCCACTGGACAATTCACTGTCGACATCCGTGCCATCTGCTTCGGCTATGTCGCTGTTACTGGGCCAAAATACTTCAACTAGGATGGCATCCCAGACTGTTTCGAGCACCTCATGTAACGCAATGGGTAAGTGTTCACTTTTACTTATTGGGAATTGATACATTTTGCAACAAATCCTTCCCTTTTGTTTTTTTTTGCATTTTGTTTTCTCATAGAACCATTTTTTTAAGAAGTTGACGTCGAGGAGGATCCACAAAGAGCTGTGGATTTGTTCCGTGAGATGACCGAAATTATGCGTGTTCAAAATTCGGACGCTAGGACGGATGTTGAGGTGAAGCCATGATTCAAGCATAAATTACTCCAACCCTTATTCGCACTTCTAATGGAGAATGGTTTTAGCCAATATCACCTGCATTCGAGACGGCGTCCTCATCAGATTTGACGGCTGCCCGTCGGGAAAGGCGAAGCGATAGTTCTGGCGCACGATTTGGTTTTCTTGGAGGGATAATTAAAGGCTTACCAGCCGCTGGAGTAGCTGTGCTGTTGAAGCTCCTACGCAAAATGTATTTTATTTGAAAGTAATTTATCACTTGTGAGCAATTGTGAAATACTATTTTTACTTCAGTGTGGGTCCGTCGTACGAACGTTATGAAGAAATGGTGAAAGTGTTCAGCAGTATGTTGTTACATAAGGTCAGTCTTAGTTACCCGTTTAATTGGTTAGGCGAGCGCTTCTGCACTTTGCTTCCTCTTTGAGAGAAATGGCTTTTAAAGTAGATGTGCGAGTCCTCCGTTTTGAGTCATTTCTCCCTTCAGTAGTGAAACTGTAACTCTATGAACCATCTTCCAGTTTTCCCATTATTTGTGGTATTATTAGGCATTGGGTATGAACTACTTAAGGGACGGATACGGGGTGCGGACGAAATAAAGGCTCGCGACACTCACGACGACGTTCACAGTCCACCAGCTGCATTGGCCGTCTGGAAAAGTGCTGCTCATGTTGCTAGAACAACGGCTGCTGTACTAGCTTCTGAGCGGAAACCACTTTTCTGCGCCATGAACACACGTCAGGTTGGTGGAATATATGTGCAGCTAATTTGCTCTAAAGCGCTTGACCCAATCTGTTCTGAGTTTTTTTTTACAGCGGGACTGTCTCCTTGCAATGGCTCGTCTCTCAGCAGTACTATCCTTCTGTATCCAACTTCTTCCGGACTTCATCGCAAACATGCTGCGGGTTTTACTATCACCACCACCGTTGGCGACAAGTTCCGGTGCTGCTCCTGTCAGTCCTCGATCGCCAGAATACCACACTGCTACCAGTCCTGTCCACAGCTTCACAAATGCCAGGTATTGAAATTTCATTTTTCCATGCTTTCACAACACTTTCGACGAACAAGGAAACACTCCAAGGCACGTTAGCTCAACCGAGAGAGCAGTCAGGGTACATCCTGTCGCTGGGAAAATTTCCGCAAAATACGACCCCTTGAAATTTTCTCCTTTGACACCCCCCCTCCGCATTATACCTGTCATCCTCCTTAAGTTTCCCGACCTCCTCTCGCTTTTTTTCTCAGATGTTCAAGAATTTTCCTGTTTCTGTCCTCCCCCTACCCCCTCCCCCCAGAAAAAAACAAAGAAGTTACCCTAGTGAGAGGGGGATAGGTATGGCATCTGTGAAACGGGAAAAACCGCGAATAGCTGAAAACTGGGAAGGAACTTCCTCGCGCAAGGAAAAACTCTCTTGAGACCAGATACAACCCATTTCCCTCCAGCGACCAAATACGACTCCCCCTAGGGATTCTCCAGCGTGCGACGCGCCGTAAGGTAGTACAGGAAAAGTTGGTTTGGGATATGTTTCCAAGGTAATCCTCACGTTTTTGTTTGATGGAGGGCGTATGACTGTCCCTGCGTTTTCAGCCCATTATCGTCGTCAGCAGATTCGCCGGCTAAGCTGCTGTCATCCACTTTTGCACAGCTATTCTCAAGTAAGAAGGATGTCAACGTCAACCTTCTCCATGTTGACATGCTAAGCCTCGCTGTTAGTATGATATTCTATTTTTTCAACTTTGCTACTGATCTTTTCACGTCCCTCCGTTTCAAATATGAAATTCTCTCAGATTTCCTTGATGATGTCAATCGGATGGACGTGGCATGATGGTGTGCAGTCATTGAAAACGACTCGTCAACTTCGTGAGATGCTACCAGATGGCTCGCAAGATGAGCTACACGTTCTGCGTCTGTGCCTTAATGGGCTCTTCTTCCAGGTGCTTTCAAGTATCTGTTAAAGTGCTGGTATTTTGGATATGCTTTAAATAGTCTCAATGTCTCACGGGTCATGCTAGTTCACTCATGCGTACCTCGTGACTATCGTCGTGCTACTTCAGGGCTTGCCTGTTACAAATTAAGTCGTGTACGGAGGCGGGGGGGGGGTGGTTGCACCTTCTATCTCCACTGTGAAAAAATTCCTTTTTTCGAAGCTGGCATGAAATTTTCGCCTAGGTTTTCTGGCTCATGTAGAATCCTAGGTGCCCTGCTGACGATAGGATACCAGCTGCAGGATCGAGTTTGAAAGGTAACGATCAGTGTGGGGGGCATACGTTGCGCGTAGAACTCTTATTGTGATATCACTTGCATTAGGACATTGTACGAGAATAGTTTCCATCTTTGAATAAGGACTTCAAACGCACACCGAAATCGTATGTCTGTTAATGCTGAACAGCAGGGGTTTACTCATTTAATGGACATAGCGCTAAAGCGCTAAGGTCTGTTGAATGCTCCCTTCTTGGCTATCTCCACGTTAGTGAGCAGTGCTTTCTTTGTAGGTCTTTGCGACATTCGAAGACAGTGACATGTCGGACGCAGATAGCAATGAGAAGGTTGATGAGGTGTTGACGACACGTCTACAGCTGCTGTGGTCAATCGTGAGACCGTCTGACGCTCCTCTTAGCGATGTTGCACGCCTACGCACAGTAAGTCTTTCGAATAATTTTCTGCGAATTAGTGACTTTGAAATCACAAGAATGCTGATTAAGGGCAAAATTCATAAGTCGCAGAAGCGTATTGGATTGCCTACTCGCCCAGTAAGCGTGAGCTGCGAGTTCGAGTCGCATATGGGGCCTGACTTTGCACATAACTCACTAAGGATGCTTGAGGTCGAAGTGGCCATTTGTAATGAGACATAGATCGGGAGACGTCTTTTGGACGTTGATCCAAATCTGCTTTCGAAATTTGTAGAACGATTCTCTGAATGGAGCTATGAAGGCTTGTATGAATGAAGGAAAACAGAATCAAGCGCGGTTGCTTGTCAGTTTGCAAGAATAACCGCGAGCGCATCATGTAATGGTGATAGGAGTCTTGCATCACAGGCGTGAGATGAAGTCAGGGAAAGCCTGTCTTGAGCCTAGAAATCACGTGATATGTTTCATTTCGCAAATCGAATATCGGTGACCTAGGTAATACTGTAGGATTGGGCGCCTGCGTCCTACAAGAAATCATTTGTGTACAGGTGCCCGTAGCGCACGCCTTAAGCGTTTGCGCGCCAGACGGGTGTCATGTTCGCGTAAAGGGACCAAAACTACCTCTAGAGACAGATTTCCAACCAAATGTAAGGTTCTAACTTAACTTCGGAAAAAGGAGGCAGCAATTGATGGAATACTGGTCGCCAGTGGTTCTAGGGCCAGTCTTTTACCGGTTGTTTGTTTTCGGACGGAATTTGCTTTTGGATATCAGAAACACTGAGCAGTAACAGAATGAAAGCGTCAGAAACGGCATGAGGCTTTGTACAGAAGAATGTATCTGTACTGAATAGTGTGAACACGAATGAACTGTACCCCGTGGATGCTTCACTTATCGAATGTGAGGTCAAAATGCCAGATTTGGCTAGAATTTTGTACGTAGGCGTAGTTTGACCCGCTAAACACGAACATGACACTCGCTTAGCACGAAAAAGTTTGCGTCACGGGCTCCTATGCACCAAACTTCTTCTAGATCACAATGCGCCCTACAGCAGTAATAACTGCGCGTAAACTTTTTTCAGGCAAGCTCAGATGAGCACAGATGTATTGATGACGCTTCAGCCCCCTTTTGCCTAGTTCCTGCAAGAAATTAAAATATTAAGCCAAACAGGGATCCGATCCCATTCATTACCTGTTGCTTGGTAGACGCGGAGCAAAAACCCCATAACTCCGTTCAGAGAATCGTTCTGCAAATTTCAAAAGCAGATTCGAGATCAGCGTCCAAAACACGTCCATGAGCTGCGTCTCATTACAAATGGCCACTTCCACCTGGCAACCCCCCTAGTTAGTATCTTTGTGATAACTTTCGGTGTGCGAACTGCAGCACAAACACAGTCAATCACCAGTAGGAAAACATCTTGAAGGGGAAGACTTCGAAGTCGGTAAAATCTTTACCCCTTACAGACACTCGTCGAAGCAACGTTGTCGCTTTTGCGTCCCTTAGCTCTTTTCTATCACGCTCGGTTCCACTTTGGTAAACCTCCAGAACTCTTAAAGGTCGAACATTTATTGCGGTGTTTTTTTGTTTGAAAGTCTATGTGAAATATTGTTAAGATCCATCCGTCGATGAATTCGAGCCTCTATGTCGATACATGGGCCTTCCTTATCATCTTGGTGAACTTCTCGACGGGTTGGCCATAGAACAGTTTTGTTTGATATGTGAGTTACAGACGATAATCACTTCCACAAGGCATTGCCAACGGATAATCGTTTAGGTGGTCTGTCTGCTGCTATGCCCGCTTTTCCACATTCAATTGTTCGTCAACCTATACGAGCAACACAACTTGTAGACCTTCCTTATGACTTTAGTGAAGTCATCCATCTAGCTTCAGCCTTCAAGTAATTTCAGCTTTTTGCCGACCTTCTTCGTTGTCTCAATAGTGGCGTTAAAGGTGTCACGTCAATTCCACTGGTGAAATGCTGCCAACGTGCCAACAATGTGTCTGGTCTGTGGACAGATTTTGTGCTCTCAAAGCTACTGTTGTCAGAAGCAGGTTTGTCAAGTTTGAGCTGGATTAAGTAGATATCACGCTGCTAGAAATTTTTGCAAAAACAAAAAACAAAAAAAAAATCTTCTTGTTGATTGATTTTTTTTCACAGATTGGTAAAGAAAGCACAGGGGCGTGTCGATATCACATGCTCCAATGCTCTGGACCCATGGGAGTTTTCTTGAGGTTAGTTTCACCTTTGGCAAAGGATAAGCTTTATGATAAATTCGACAGTGTTTAACTATTACGAACCAGAAAACTAAAAAAAAACGTTTCTGGTGAAATATTGCCCACAAGGGTAGTTTGATGTCCACGAGCATGACATTCTTTTTCGAAGCTGGCGCTATTTGGCGCCGCTAGGCGCTAACTTTGCGCCATCCACTTCTCTCACCAAAACCGGTCGAAACTTGCAGCGGTGGTTATTCGTAGCCTGATCACGAACTTGATTGCAATTTTTAGCCCCGGCCGCCATTTGGCGCCACTCCTTTTTCATCGAAATCGGCGAAAACTACCAATAGCCAGGGCGTGTCTGATGCCCTGTTCACGAATTCGGCATTCATTTTTTGACACCAAGGCCATATAGCGCTCTATCAAGGCTGTGATTGGTGGGACTGGTCATTTCCTTTAGGCCAGGCCAAATCGAAGGCACTACGGTCTTCCGCACCTCTAGCAAGAGCGGATGAATCGTAGTGCCTGTCGATTAGCGCCAGTGTCAAGAATGCCATATTCGTGATCGGGATGTACCGCGCCTTAGCAGAGCGCGGATGATCGTAGTGCCTTCGATTAGCGCCAGTGTCAAGAATGCCATATTCGTGATCGGGTGTACGCGCTTAGCGAGCGCGATGATGCGTAGTGCCTTCGATTAGCGCCAGTGTCAAGAATGCCATATTCGTGATCGGGATGTATAACCCCTGTATACAAGTTTCAGCTGGTTAGGTGATCTAGTGTATCTTGGAGCCGGCACCTGGCTCCAGGCATCTCCAGGCTAAGCGGATGTGATATTCTTGTCAAGGAGGTCGAATCACCACCTAGAATAGAATTTTCAGCCGAGTCAATGCTCCCAAAGAAAAAATGTTGCTGAAAAATGTGTTTTTGGCACGTGGCTATACCACTTGGAAAACTGCGTTTGATGTTAGTAGTTCAGTAGTGCCAAAAATTCTTTTTCCCTGTAATGCTGAAAGAGATCTGTTTGATTCAAGGATTCGGGACTGCGCTATAGTGCTTATGACAACACGGAATCGCGGCTGCTTCCGTCCAGCCCCTTATGTCGACGAGTTTGGAGAAGCTGATCAGGGATTCAGGTGATCTACTTCTTCTCTTTTTCGTTGTCGTTTCTTCCTATACTCAGAATTCTTTGTAGGCGGTAATCCCTACATCTCAATGAAGAATCTCTACACAATTGCGGCAGCTATGGCTTCAACAGGGTATCGCCGAAGAAGTTGTCAATCAATACGAAATTGATCATCGAAACATGCAGTACGATTGGGGTCATTTTTAGAGTTTTAGTAGAACCTCTCGGACGAAGGAACTTTGTGTGATCGACCATTATACTTCTGCTCTTTTTATATGTAAATATCAGTGTTTCCTTATAAAATTGTGGCAGTTCCCAGAAAGGGGCTGTTCTTATTAGGATTATTGCATGCGCCTCATATTAAGTTAGTTTCTACCTGAGTTGCTGTAATGTTATTTCGTTCTATTTCGGTGCACTAATTTTAGTCTAACGGCCGGCGCATCACCTTCACGTTTTTCTTCTTCTGAGGTCGCGTATAGATTATGGGTAATATATAGTATGGATTGTAAAACTCGAGCTCTCGGTTTCAGTTTGTGATTTCGCGTGGCGCGTTTCTTTTTTTTTTTGGAGGGAGACGCCCTTAGAAAGGGCACATAGTGCAGCTTGTGATTCGAGGATTAAGTGCAGTTTTATTCTGCTATCGTATTCCCTAATCAGTTTAGTCTACTTTAATTGCTGATATTCTTACGGAACTAGACCCTTTCGATTTGTGTAAATAAATATAATCAATCAGTGTTTGTATTTATGAAGCAGGGAACTTTTAATTTATGACTTATCCATGAAAACTGTGAGCGTGTTCAAGGGTCTGACACTTCATTTGTTTATGCATTAAATCGGTCAAGCATTACATTCAGTTGCGCGATGTCGAAAAGAAATTGGAGCAGGTTTCGGAAAAAACAACATTCATGAACCCGATCTGGAACATTGGGACCGATCCACTCGCTCGGACGGGGTCCCTTCTCTCGCCACCGCCCCCTCATGAAGCACGAACAGACGAGCGTCGAAATTCTTCTCGTCACCATATTTACACATCCTTGTCCACCCTTTAGCACTACTCTTCAAACATGTTGGCAGCGTTCGTCAGAGGGAAATGAATTGATGCCATCCATGATTCCATCGTTCTCTAGATTTTGTTACTTCTGATGTAAGCAAGTCTGAAAAACACACTTGCTTATTCCTTGCTGAAGCGTAGCGTGTTGACAGAAATTTTATGCTGCTGCCATTCGCGCTTTTTGGCTGGCTGCAGTCTTTTCCTTGGGCAGAGCTTCGCTTCGATGAACATTAAGTTTAGGTTTTGAGCTTGCTTTTCCAAGCACAATTTTTCTTGTTTTCGCAATCAATGGTTTTTTATTACGATGGTTCGGCGAAAAAAACCGATTGATATAAGGGGGGGGGGCGCGAATGAAACGAATAAAACTTTGGCGCCAGTCACATACCAGTAAACGTTTTTGCGTTCGGCCCGGAGAAGGAGGCTATGATGATACGGTACCACGGCGAATAACCTAACAAGATTTTCTCAATAAGCAGGAGCTGGCTCTTGCCCATCAACTTCATGTACACCAAAATATGAAGCCATCTCCAATCGCAGCTTGATTGGAAAACGCCTATGAAATTCACGTTTCCTCTGAACAGCTGCGGAACTGCTTGAGTGAAGTCACCGCGGATAAGCTACCTGGGAGGACTCAGCACTCTTTGATCTGGAAGGTCTCCCAACCATACGAAGGCAGCTCAGTAACGTCGCTACTGCCTAGGCTATTTCTCCACCGCAGTCGCCAAGGTGCGGGTTGATCGTATGGACCGGAAGTTTCTGAAATGGGAAGACCGATATTCTCTTTCCGATGCGGCACCTGCAGACTGACCGATGAGCAGAGTGAAAGTGAACGCTGACGGTTACATCGACCAACTCGAGGAGAATATCCTGCCTTCATGTCGTCGCCTCGTACCGTCTTGGAAACTTCGTACTGCTACAGGATTGGGTGCCACCACTTGGAATCGAAGGGCGTTGAGTAACTGAAGAAGGCGGAATATCCAAGTGTGTAAACTGATCTGAACTCCACTGATTAACGGATCCGGGACGGGCTCAACAGGCTGGTCTACACTGGCAGAGAAATCAACGCTCTCACTGAACTCAGGCACCGAATCACGGTTGCGTGGCAGAATCTCTCGATGGCGCTCGTCCAGAAGGCTGTGGCGGAGTATCGTGATAGTGTACAATGTGTTGTTGAATATGATGGTGGAAATGTCCAATCAGAATTCAATAAAGTGTAACTTATTCCATCTTAAAGTCGAGGAAAAAGTGTCGTTCTTTGGCCCCTTGTATGTAGGGAATTCTTTCTTACTTCTCATGAAACTAGTCCCAGTCATTTTTCACAATGGTTCGCAACAGTTTCTGCGGGTTTCTGGAGCTGAGTGGCATAAATGCTAGCGGCGACCTATGTTCTTACAGAGGCCGCTCGCCGTGCACCATCCCGTCGCGTCTCAGAAGTAGCACAGGAGGACCTTCATGGAGTGCACGCCAGGTTTGGCCTGCTAAAAGAGTCTTCTCCTCGAGACAGGAACACGCCACAGTGCGAACTGGAATCACAAAAAAAAATCTTTCATCCCACTAACCGGTCTCCAAGGAATTTCAAGATTTTGACGGGAGCGGATAAGAGAAGACTGGCAAATGGGTATCGGGTATACCGTGTGCATAAGGGATCCATCAAACTAGTACTTTTCGATAGCCAAAGGCTTACAGGCGGTTAACGACTGTCAGTTAGGTACACCCGAGTCTTGTCGCAAGACTGCTGATGATAGCCTTCTTACCCTCTTTGATTTCGAGAACTGTGAGTATTCTACTTCGTGTGGGCGTCTCCTCCTTTCGCGAAACAAGCGAACCAGCGGTGGACAGTCCTAATCTTCGTGGTGTCCTCCCATAATGCACTGATGTTGCGGACAGCTGCCGTTGCTCCAGTGCCGCGGCTCCACTCATAGAATATGGTGATTTGAAGATGCTCCTGTGAAACTGACATCGTAATTAAAC